TAAATTGCACTTCTCCAGGGATTATTATTAAGGATATTTTCCCTTAAAAGAAAAAAATGGCTAGGAAAAAGATTGGCTCACATCAGGAAATCCAAAGCTCCTTCATTGTTCCTTTGGCTTCCTTCCCACTGATCATCTCAAGAAAAACCGTATTAAAACAGGACCCCTTTCCAGGAACCGAAGTGATTTATACAGAGAGGGGCCATGAACACCAACTGCTAATTTGTATGCATTGTTGTCAATTAAATTTCCTCTGAAGACACCACTTTCTTCTTTAGATTATGCTTGCAGTTATAAGAATTTTTTTAAAAAAGAGGGTTTGGAGTCACGTTGAATTTACACATCCAATGTGAAGAAACAAAAAGCAGATCTAATGCTTTTTACTGATTGCTCTTCTAAGTTTAGCGGATCACTTCAGAACAATATTGGGAGGGCAGGATTTATATTGTCTCTCAACTTTGGAGAACGGGCACTAAAGAAGTGGAGTTTATAAATAGCTGCTTTAAGAACAGCATTTGATTTCAGAACGGAGCTGTTCAAGCCCTTTTATTTTAGGTTGTGTTTAGAAATCAATAGATTTTTGTCACCTGCAATTTAGCTATCTTATTTCAAAGTAATGGAAGGTAATTTGATACTGGTTCCATCTTGTTGTTTTCCCGAAGTTGCCCAACTTTTCTCATCAACATGGAACATCATTTCTGCACTTCCCGAGTAGTTGAGAAAAAACAAAGTTAACACTTTTTCAGCTCCTGACTTCCACTGAAGCATGGCAGTGTGGCTTCCAGCCCCATTCTTACTTTAAGTGGAAGATTTGACAGGCTAGGAGGTGCATTAAGATTATGGAGGATTAAGGCATCTATTTTACCTGCATTTTTAATGGATGATTTTTGCTGCCAATATATAGCATTGTAGGGGGCTCTGGAGAGGGCAGAAAGGAGCTGGAGACCCACACTTCTGCAAGTTGCTCACTCCTACACTAATTGCGGCATTACTTATATACTGCACATATCAAGACATCTGCAGTATCTTATGGATTCTATACACAAAGTCAACTCCCAGATTATCTTGGATGTAATTAAAGGGTGTTGAACTAAGCAAAGTCGGAGAGGTGATTCAGGTAACTGGCAGTCTGTAAACAAGGAAAGATAGAAGCCGCAACTGAAGCTCCACCTCCTTTGCACATGCATGAACATAATAAAACAGACAATGCTTCAGTCATGATCCAACAATTGTCATCTCATCTGTGTAGACACCAATGCTGGTAACTGCCTTGTCCTAAGATGGTCACCACTTCTGGGAACAATTTTGAAGATTCTGCAGTACATCAAAAGTTTTTCCACAATACACTCTCAAGCGGTTTGTACATTTCTTTTTCTTTCTTTCTTTCTTTCTTTCTTTCTTTCTTTCTTTCTTTCTTTCTTTCTTTCTTTCTTTCTTTCTTTTTCTTTCTTTTCTTTCTTTCTCTTTCTTTTTTTCCCTCCCTCCCTTCTCTTCTTCTCTCTCTCCTTCCTTTCTTTCCTACTTTTCAAGTACTGCTCAGCAGCTTCCATTTATCACTAATCATTTACCTCCAGAGTAGTTCCTCTAAAGCTTCAGTGTTCTTCCTCTCACCCATCCAAGTGTTTTTACAATATCATTCAGATAGAAGAGTGAGGGGAGAGAGCAGTTCTCATGTCTGCAATCAATTGCTGTACTGAAAGCAGTTCTGTATTATGATTAATTTTTTTTAAAAGTCACAGAATGCAAAGAATTGTAATGACATAATGTTTGGTATAAGATGAGATCCCAAAAGGAGGAGTAGGTATTCAATATTTATTTGAAGATCTGGAATTTCATTTAAATAAACAAAAACGACTGACCCAACATTTCAAATAAATTAGTACCAAATGTCAAACAAAATTAACAATGAGAAAAATAGATTTTGTAACATCAAACTTTTAAAAGCAATCCGCCCCAAAGGCAATAAACCAAGTATTTTATTGACCTACAAATATTTAGAGCACCTTGAAAAATTTTCATTGCTACCTGATCATTCTGGTGGCACCATCAACCTAGTGTACTTCAAATGTACCTGTGCATCCAGGTCTAGTTAAGAGACTCGGACACTGGTTTGAGCATGGGAATATGTTCTTCAGTCTGAAGCAGAAAGCAAAATTTTGGCAACAGCTTTGCAGCCAGTCTTAGAAGCCAGTCTCAACTTATTGCTGTACAAGACACACCTGCCCCCAAATTGCATACATAGGCTGTTGCCAAAGGACATCTCACTTGTTGGCTTAGCTTTGTTTTAAAGCTATGTCAACATTAGATTTTCCAAAATCGAAGAGAATATACAGATAACTCTAATATACAAAGATAGGGTGTATCTTGGCCAACTAAAGCAACTGTAGTAATTATGAACACGTGTTTTCTACCAATATCGCCAGTTTATTTCTGAATGTGAGGATTGGAAACTTGAATGGTTTTGGGGTGAGGGGGAAATTTCAGAAATCAAAGTTCAATGTTGGGTGTGTCTATTTCATTTCTTGCTTTTAGATGCATCCTCTCCTAAAGGCCTGGAAATTAAATTAAATCTTAACACCAGAATGTGAAACCAACAAATAAACCTGGTCACGCTACCCTCTAGGTATGTCACTAATGATGGTTAAAAAGGATGAGATGGGAGGGCAGGGTAGGTCACGTTTATATAAAGAAGTTGGTTCATTACACAACCATCATCAACTCTTACAGCATGAATATATGACTTGGGTAAAATGAGAGGCAAATTATCAAAAGCAAAAAGAGCTTTCCTGCCTGCAATAAACTTAAGCATCAGACAATGCAAGTTCGAACAGTTTATATAATTGGGTCGTGCATTTTACGATGAGAGGTACCATTGTATCTTCTATCTCAGATGTGAGACAGAAGATATGAAATGTGTTTGATGTGGAGTAAACCATCCCCTACTCTACCTGCCTTTTTATTCTGGAACTGGACTGCGGGAAAATGAAAATGGACTATGGACTTCGACGCTGCTTTATAAATAGAAAAGAACATGGGCAATCACAAAAAAGGAGAGGAAATGGGAAGTGAAAGATCAAATGCAAAAGATGGGATTTCAAGTAAATATATATATATATATTATCACACGTGGCTTTCATTTTTCTTTAAAGCTCATGAGGGCAAGAAAGCTACTTCTCAAAGGGAAAACTGATACTGTACCACAAGGATTTCCTCCAATCTTAATTGTGCATTGAACCAGCTTTATAACAAAGCTTAGGGAGTACAAGGTTGCAATCCTGTGCACGCTCAGGTAGCATTTTGAGTAATCTGTTTAGCACTATATTGTTTCCTGAGTTGAAACCAGGGTGGACTATGTAACCAGATTGTGCATAATCTATGTCAGGGGTCTCCAAACTCGGTAACTTTTAAGACTTGCAGATTTCAGTTCTCAGAATTCCTTAGCCAGTCATGCTGGCTGGGAAATTCTGGGAGTTGAAGTCCACAAATCTTAAAGTTGCCAAGTTTGGGACCCCTGATCTCTATTAAAGAAATCCCTCCCAGTTCTGTCTCTCCAACTGTAAAAATGTGCCTGAATGTACTTGAACAATCACAGTGTCAAATACTTTTATCCAGAACCTGAGGCATTACTTGAACAATGCTAGCAGAAGCCAGAAAGAGCAGAGCAAATTAAACTCAATGATGAGAGCAAAAGTCTTCAGGATATAGAAGCTCTGAGCAAACCCTTCTTAGGCTTCGTGTTTAACTCAAGCTCAGAAAAGAAGGTTGACTAACCTTCAAGAAATCGGGACGAGGGAGAATCATTATTGGATATGTTATTTCTATTCTTTCTTGGTGATCATTGTCTTTGAAGATTAGGACACTCATGAATCCAAAGCCTCCATAACCCACTTGGCATGCTCTTACATTGCTAATAGAACAGCTACAGTTCTGGGATCAGCACTAGGCTGAAGTTTTCCACTAGCAATTAAGAAAGAGGACCTACAGCGGACTTCATTGGGATTTACCTTTCTCTATGTTCTTCTCACTAACCAACTTTCTCGAGAGGAAGCAACAGCAGCTTGGTTTATTTGTACTTAGTAAAAATGTAGGATTATCATGGTTTCCCCTTAGATTCCATAGTCCTACAGCTTCCACCCATTTCTGGAGAGAAGGATCAGGGGCCCATTTGGGGAAAAAAAACAAAAAAACAATTCAGAATGATTTTGTGCTAAGCGGAATCTGCAGTTTAACCACGCCGAAGTAAATAGTATGCTCTTTAATCTAGCTCCAGAATGAATTAGACGGCCATGAAAGAAAAAGAAACCAAAAAACCCTTCCCCACAACAATTAAACAAAACAGGCAACCAAAGGGTTAAACGAAGATATGTCTTTCATGAATGCAACGTGCAGGAATATGCCATATGAAGGAAAGGGGATGAAACACATTGGAATAGGATAGGAGGACATGGGTGGGAAATCTACCAAACATTATTTTGTCTAAACCTAAAGAACTTGAAGTGTGTTCTTGCTCCACCTTCCATTCGTTCCTCTTTATTTAAGGTCTTATATGTTGGCTCATGTAGATTCTCTCCCTGGTGGATTATGGCCATTAAAAGTTTCAGAAAGTTCTTTTCAATTTTCAATGTGCTTTTGCATTAACTGCAGGATATTGCTTAATTTCTAGAACACCATCTCTCAGTATTCCAGAAATCAGAAGGTAACAGAAAATTGTGAGTCCTTCTAAAACAGATTATTGATCATTTGTATCAAGTGGGAGGCTCCCTATTAGAACTATTATTTACAAAAATATACCTATTTATACCCATAAAGAGGTGAGGATTTCTAAGTGGGAAGAGGGTACCAAACTCTCCCTTTATTTGCGACGCTCTCCAGTGTAACTGTCTTCCAGCCACTTTCCTCATAACTTAGTGAACTGAGATGTGCAAAGAGAGAGAGAGAGAGAGAGAGAGAGAGAGAGAGAGAGAGAGAGAGAGAGAGAGAGAGAGAGAGAGAGAGAGAGAGAGAAATATCAAGTTCAGCACCCTAATTTCATTCATAGCTCTTCACCTTTTTGTTACCTCCTGCATTTTGCCGGTGTCTGTCAATCAGAACCATTTTTCTCACTTAATGCTCTACCTTTGTCAATAGTCCTTTAATAGCCTTCATAGTTGATCTCATGTACAACCTCTAAAGAGGTCTGTTTCCCAGTGTAACAGATAACTCTTCATAATTTGACTCTCCTTCCTGCTTCTTCTTTCAAGGGGAAGCTCGGTCTCCATTGGCAGTTCTTGACTTGTACCCGCTCATTTCAGAACCAATCAAAATTTGGTTTTGTGCAACATAGAGGGGGGCTTCAAATAAGTTATGCTCGGTTGACGGTAGTTGACGGGATTTCATCTATTCGTGATTGGGACAGCATCAACATTGTTCAGAAGAAAGAGTTCAGGCTGAGAAGTAAGTCCCAGATGATACTAGACAAGACAAAAAAAAGAGGTTGGTGGCAATTAGAAATGGTGTTTCAGAAGCAAAATCCAGAAATCAAATATCACAAGATCACCAAATTCCCCAGGATATGACTAGCCTGTAAAGGAACCACCCAGGAAATGACAAGCAAAGCTGCTTCTTATCTTCCAGCAGATGATTTCATTGGTTAAGCTAGTTTTTTTTGTGTGCAATTCTGACACAATTCCAAGCTGATAATGAAGTATGACTCTATTCTAATTTTTCCAAGGTTGTTTTCGTCTCTGAGTTCTCTTAGATAATTTGAAACCAACTTTTAAGCATGAACAACAGCAACAAAATCTATGGATTTTAAGAGAAAATTGGCATAATACACCTTTTTTTTTGGCTAGGCCATAATGCAATGTGACTGAATTCACACATTTGCTGAATGCAAAACAGACCACATTATGGCTCAGCACAGTGGGCAAACCCAGCCCATTACTAAATATCCAAATGACCACTTAAATATTCAGATGCTCGATTTGTCAGGCTCCCTTTTGAAATAAAGCGAGAATGAGCATCTGGTGTGCTACAGTACTGAGCAAATTAGAAGCGATAGGTTACTTGACAGTCAATCACAGGAATGCACAATCCAATCACTGCATTCCAAAGTAGGCACCACTGGCAATAATTCATTATTCAAGAGGGCTGAACCAGGCTCTAACGAAGCAAACCACTCCCAGCCAAAATCCACATTGCTGAATTTGCAAGTTGATTACATCTTAGGCTAGCTTTTGTTCCTCTTTGTTTAATACGATCCTTTTAGTCATTCTCAAGTGTCCTTGAAGTTAAAAATACTTCATGGAGATTTTTTTTTGTGTTCTTAAAATCCAATTAATGACTTCTCTTTTATAGAAGGGGCAGACCTATTTGGCCTATTCTAAGGGTTAAAGCAAATGAATCTTTGATAACATAGCGGTTATTGTTTGATCCTATTCTACTATTCCTTGACTAAGTATTTAATAAATACAGTGGGTACTAAATCTGGGCAAGAGTTTGTTTCGCGACTTGTTGAAATTCTAAAGAAGGGTTTTCAAGATCTTCTGAGCACTGGCCTCAAAGATGAAAGGCTGGGTGTCGGTCAAACTTGCCTGAGTAGGTGCCTTCCTTATATCTGGAATTTTATATTTACAATTCCAATTATCCCTGGCTAGCATAGCCATGGAAATGAGAGTCCAAAGCAGTAGTTTCTTGAAAACACTGGAGCCAAGGACAGATTGTTCTCTGTCTCTCTCACTGGGCCTGTTCTTTGCAGCTGACGCTTGGAGAGATCAGCTTCTTTGCTAAAAAAGCGCGTCATCATTTCAACAATGCCTGATAGAAATCTTGCCCATATTTTGCCCGAAGCTGCAAGGCAAATGTTTGCACCCGAGTAAGTGGTGCGTTTTGAACTGTAGATGATTGCTAGCAAGTATGTATGATACTGAGTTAATTTCCTCGTCTTTTTACGCCTCCTCACAAAGCTGTACAGTGATATTCAGAAAAAAAGACCCTGGTATGGAGTTATTCAGCTTGGGAGGATGGGATCTCCATCTTGCAAATTCTAGTGCTCCAGATGTTCATGTAGCTGATTTGAGATGATGCAATCTAGGGGTAGGAACACTGTAGAGTATGTTCTGTTCTGCATAAGGGCAACAGATTCATTTTACCTTCAGTTTAGCTGTAGCAATTGCCAGAGATAGCCATTAGTTAAAGGGTGTCAAAAATAGGGTGTCAATATGGCAGTCATTGCCATTTTCCTTGCAGTTGCCCTTACTTAACTAGACTTTCCATTAATTTGTATCAATTTTGTACAAATGAATGTTTTGCAGATTAACATGATACTATCCATACTACTCTCTGTTGCGCTGCTCGGCTGATAAGAACTTTTTTTAGTTATGCTTGGCAATCATTTGTTTTTCAATTCATGTAGAAACATTTGTCAACGCTGCTAACATCGGATGTTTTTGCATTGACAACAGATGGAAATGTAGCCATTTCTTATCTTTTGCTTTTAGAGTTAGATGATGCTGGGAGGGGGAATGTGAACGAGAGTCCAGCTAGACATAACAACACTGGACCTAGCGTGAGAAACAAGGTTATTGTAAACCAGAGCTGATAAGGAATCGGTGGGCTGGAGAACTGGAGAGGAAGCCTGGGCTTCAAGCTAATTGGGGAATGTGATTTATGACTGTTAATTGGAGGAGGGAATTGTGCTTTGATACTATGTGCTCAGGGGAGGGGAATTCAGTTTTTGGCTTTGATTATGCAGTGCCGATATTATGCTACTTGAAATAAAGATTCTTTAAGGTAAACAATGCCTCGAAGTTCATTTGAAGAGTTTCATCTGTCGGAACCATGACTACATTACTATTTGACACCCCCCCTCCCTATTACTTAGAGTGAATTGTTGGATTTAACTTCATTATTGGATTAAATGTTTTCATTCCTCTGCCCCTTTCATTATAATAGAAGGAGTGCAATTTCCTTAGTCATGATCTGTATCTGCTTTAGGAAATTCCAGAATTCCTATTCTGGAACACATGTATGGATCACTGAATCAATGTAAGCAAGCCTCATCAGATTTTTAGAATCATGTCACTGGGGCTTAAGATACAGAGAATAAAATTTCAGCTGTTAAGCAATTTGTTGTAACTAAATCACACCAACACTCGTTCTCATTTAGACTCACAGGTTGAAGACTAATTGCAATATCAATTTCTCACCAAATTATTTGTGTGCTAAGAGAAATACACTAAGTTAATATTTCAAGTTATTTTTGCATTCCTAGTACAGGAAAGAACTGGTCTGTAACGCGTTTCTACCTGCTATAAAAATGATGGGTGTGGATTACTATGAACTAGGTATAAATATCTTCTATACCTAGCAAAATATTAAGAAATTCAACATGGGTTGAGCGTTCATACATGGCAGTGCGTCTCTCTTCCTTTCACTTGGAATTTGAGGAATTTAAAAGGATACAGTTCAGTTGAAAAGTGTTTCAATGTTCTTGGGAATCCAAGAGATTTAAAAGTTCTTTTTTAAAAATCAGGGCTGAGATTTAAGACATTTCACACTGTGATTGGAGAGCTGCAAATGTCCTATGTTTGAAGGACTATCGTATGTACAACCACAGCTTAATTTTGATGAGACTTGCAACACGTCATTCACAGGACATTATTAATCTTAAAATGAGTACCCTTTCTTAGCACAGAAAAACAACAGTCTACGATTACCTGCCAACTAGATGAAAGCACACATTCATTGTTCTGGCTTTTACAAATATTGCTTTATATCTCAACTTGCCAGACCTATATTAAATATTTCAACGAGTCACGATTGCATTTGAAAGCTTTGACCTTTTTTTTCTCCCCGAAGCCATTATAAATATTACCAAACATTTTTGTGTTATAAAATTATGTATGTTTTCCATATTGTAGGAATTGGAACACTTTTTAGGGAGAAAAACAATTACTTACGCTTTCCAGTCCCTTTAAAGCTGGCAAAGAAAGCTTGTCACAGGAGAAAGAAAAAAAAATGCTCATGATGTGTAGTATGTATGTAAGAGGATGATTGCATTAGTTTTAATTTAATCTGCATATAAAAATTACTTGGAATATACTAGAAATATATTTTCTTAGTGGGAAATATATAAGCCTTATAAGGTTGCTCCATTGGCCAGGAATCTGTTAACATTTTATTTTACCCCTGCAAAATGTTTGTTTCAGCAAATTAGATCAATATTATGGCTATGGAGTCATACAAAACACAAACAAATATGCATGCATATGTGTGTCTGTGTGTGTTGTGTGTATTTATTGCATTATTTAAAGCAGGCAGGTCCAGGCCACATATGGCCCTGGACAGCTAGTAATGCAATCCCACAAGTTCATAAACTTTTAATATTATATGATTATATACATTAATATATATTAATAAAATATATATTTTATATGCAACCCAAGTCAATTCCTCTTCACTCAGCGCAACCCAAGCAGGACAAAAGGTTGCACATTCATAATCTAAAGCAAAACCAATAAATAGGCCCCAAAGTCCTAAAATGCTTTAATTTAAACTTCCAAACTGCTTGTTCTATTTGATCAAGATAAAAAGTAAAGATTTTTTTTTTTAAAGTTTCTTTTCAAGAGTGATCAGCAACTGAAATTTCAGCAGTCCCTTTGTTCTCATCTTAGCTATTTGCCAGTGTCCTGTTTACTAATACATTGCAACTTTACAGGGGTGAGGTCTCTGAGTTTCTTTGTTATTTGCACGGAGTCAGGTATTAAAGCAAGTTTTAAAGTTGACCCTTTAGGTCTTCAATTTTTGTTCATCTCATCTTAATAATATGAAAAGATCGGAAGTCTAAAAACAAAACAGCATTTTTTTGACAACACGGAGATACCAAAATACAAGAAAAATGCATGTTCCAAAAATCCATATTTATAAAATTAAGAGGTCAAATCAGTGCTTCTCCTGCAGTTCTTGGGTAACAGAAGATTTCAGGGCAGTCACAAAAATTATTTGTAGTAAGTTCAGCAAGTCCCCTGGACTGCAAGGCGATCAACCAGTCAGTCCTAGAGGAGATCAACCCTGACTGCTCTTTAGAAGGCCAGATCCTGAAGCTGAAACTCAAGTACTTTGGCCACCTAATGAGAAGGAAGGACTCACTGGAGAAGAGCCTAATGCTGGGAAAGGTTGAGGGCAATAGAAGAAGGGGACGACAGAGAATGAGGTGCCTGGATGGAGTCACTGAAGCAGTAGGCGTGAGCTTAAATGGACTCCAGAAGATGGTAGAGGACAGGAAGGCCTGGAGGAACGTTGTCCATGGGGTCGCGATGGGTCGGACACGACTTCGCAACTAACAACAACAAGAAGTTCAGGGATGAAACATACAGTATAGGATTTCACATCATAAAATTCACTGCCATAGAATGTGATGGTGATATGGATAAAAAAACTCAAAAGTTTTTTTTAAAGTTTTATTCAAATCCAGGAAGCTATATTTAGCAACAGGTATTAGCTGAGAGAGTTCAATACACTTTGCTTTTTTCATTCAAACTTTACCCTTTGCAGAAGCATCTGGCCAGTCACTATTATCAAAATAATGGTGAACCGTGGTTCTCATACAGTCAAGAAATCATTCTGTTCAAATTAACAATAGCAATAGCACTTAAGACTTATATATAGCTTCACAGTGCTTTACAGACCTCTTTGAGTAGTTTACAGATTGCCCCCAACAATCTGGGTACTCATTTTACCAACCTCAGAAGAATGAAAGGCTGAGTCAACCTTGAGCCCTGTCAGGATCGAACTGCTGGCTGTGGGCAGAATCAGCCTGCAATACTGCATTCTAACCACTGTGCCACTACAGCTCAATTGCAGTGTATCTGCCGTTCTAGGTCATTACTCTTCATTACTACAAGGATAATACAAAACTTCACACAGATGTTGACGGTGTGCACTAGAGACAGCAAGAGCTTCCAGATTCCTTTCAAGGAGGGGATGCTTCATCAAGATGTGTTCAACCTTCTTCCACACTCAAATGAATGCAGGAGGGAAACTGCCCATTCTCTAAATTGGAGGGCATGTAGCTACCGTTTATGAAATGTTTTCCATGTCTGTTTAGGAAAGATACTGTGGCCTGAATTAGATAATCTTCATGATATTAATTTAAAAAGAAAGAGACCCAAGCTGAAAAACGTTCCATTTTTTAATCAAAATTAGGTATACAGATTGGTTTAGTCAGATAAAAATAGACATTTGTTTCACATTATACAAGCCATTATGTAGCTCGAATGTTTTGATACGTGATTGCTACATATCTGTTTTTTGAAATCTCGTACTATATTCAAATAGTGTCAGACAGAAATTGACATCCCAAGAGGCAGTTTATCTTCCTTCTGAGAACTTAAAGGTTTAAAGTGCATAGAAATAAAGTGTAGAGCAGCTGAGAATCTGCTGACTATTTTAAACAGCAGAAATACACAACCAGCCTCAGTGTAAACTATAATGCTAAACAAAATCAGAAAACAGTCATCCATACACAATACAAAGCTTGATACGTCTACACAGATAATGCAAGACATATCCTTATTTGCTGCTGGTTTAGATGGGAGTGGGACACATGCCAAACTTTTTCTCATGATATACACAGTAAAAGGGTTAAAATACACAAGCCAGCAAACTGCAACATGGAGCCATGAGATGATCAAACAAATTGCTCTTTAAAATGTAGTACTCTGCTGTAGCAAATCTACATTGCCTACAACAGGAAGTGGGTGCTTCTCCATCAAATCTTAAGTCCCACATAAGCTCCTTTCCAGTGAGTGGAGGTAATGATCCCTTGTTGAGTAGGAATTATCTCAATGATCTATGAACACTATGGACTTTGTAGGCATGGGCGTTTTCTTTAAAAAAAACAAAAACAAAATAGGAACAACCGCCCACCAACTAGGAAAGCAAATTGTAAAGTGGATGGGAAATGTTGTGCAGTCACTGTTTTAATTTAGATGTGTGAGGTAGAAGGATATATTTGTTTCAAGGGGGTCCCATGCATGCAAAAGTAGTGCACTTTGTCACCTCCAAGTTCCAACCTGGAGTTGTGAGATGATTCCAGTTAAATTCCATTGAAAGCCTTGCGTATTCAATATTGCCTTTTCCAGGCAAAGGGTTTTTTTTCCCTAGCAGCCAATGTGCGGCCCAAACCTTTACAAGTATGGCCCTTCTAATATTTGAACTCTTCCCATAGACTCAACATGCAAGCCAACAAATCAAGCCTACAGATCTCCTGCGTTTGCACCCTTCCGCATGAAAAATATCATTAATAAGAAATGCTACGGTCAGCTAGGTAGTTCTCTGTTCCCATTCAAGCCAACAAAATGCAACAGTGACTATGTATTACTCTTTCAGGGTCTCTGCTTAATTCAAGGTTAAGTAGCTCAGGGCTTTAATAGAACCTGAGTCTGCTTAATTATGTACCTTTCAACATAGACGGATCAGGAAATCTGGGATAATTCTGGTAAAAAGTTACAAATCATAATCTTTTCAAACTTATAAATACTTGGAAAGAAAAATGATAAATCACCTCTTTTAAATCTATACGAAGTAAGCACAATGTAGCTTTAACCCAGACCCCGAGCAGTCCGACTTTTAGTAAAAAAAGAAAAATTAAACTTGCTAAAATGCATTAGTCATCCCAAGATTTATCATAAATACTTTAAAAAAGTGGAAAAATACAAACAAAAAATCTCTTGGTGTTGGTGCTAAATGGGACAGCTGGCTGAAACAGTGTCTACAAGGAAGATATTTTGCTTACACGCTTCATTCAGTTCTGACAATTATACCATAATGAACTTAGTCTTTCTTTAATCAAGAGTAGTAGTTAGTGTTATAATATGTATAAGGAACATGTTTGTTCAAATCAATTAACATCTGAATTTAGGAATTTCTTCAGAATTTGAAAGATAATTCACAACATACATATCAAAAAGTTAGTACCTTCATCTCAACTATAGCAAAGTAAACAAGTAAACATTAATTTCATCACAAGGTTGCATTTGGTCATCAGTAGTATGATTTGCAAGTGAGTCTTCGCCAACCTTTTCCCTGCAGATGTGATGGGGAAGATAGGAGCTGTATAGTGTCAGGCTGGCGTAGGCTGAATTATTGCTCAATGCCGCTCTTAAAGACTCAATCCCCTCCATTCAGACTCGGGAAGGACCTTCTTTTTAAAGTATATTGTACTTTATGAAGGTGGTTCTGCTCAAATGTAGTAGGAAAATCCAGTTTTTTTTTCTCATTTGGCTGCTCCTACTTGTGACAAAACTACAAATCCCAGAATTCTTTGTTATCTTGCTTACTGATTGCAAAGACTGGGAATTCTGGGATTGTAGTCCCAACACATCATCTTATAGAGGCCCTGATAGGGAAGACTGCACAAGCTTAAGTAAGGAAGATAGTAAGATCTTTAAATAAAGTCCTTGGGGAAGAATATAGACATGGATTAAAAGCTGTTTGCTGTCCATCTTGACCAAAAGCTCAGGAATGAAATGTTCTTGGTTCTTTATATGACCTCTCTATCTCTTGATATTTATCCCTTCCCTGAGAGCACTGTTATGGTATCAGCAAAGATTTTGCAATGCTTTGTTAACAACTGTGTGAGGAATGGGGCAACCAACAGAAACATAGGTAAATCATTAGTGAAAATGACAAGAGGGAGCAAGATCGAGCCAGTTATAACATACAGTCACATTCTTAGCTGAGCATACGCTTTTAAAATGGATGCTTATGTTTCATGCTGGGAAGATTTCTGGCTAAAGGAAAAGGTTCATATCCCCATAGATAAGTAATTTGACAGCCAGAAACCCTTCCTTAATATAAACATGCCTGCCATAAAGAATGACAGGAAATACAAATACTATCTTGCTTGAGCAAATGAGGATGAAAGCACACAAAAAATGGGAAGTATTTGTAAACTTCTGTTTTAAATCTAGATTTGATCTTATAAGCAAGCAGTTTCTCTGCAATTAATGACCAGGCTTCATCTCTCCACTATAATCATGCAGGTCTTCGTGGTTTCGACTCCAATGCTTAAAGAGTCTGACCATCTGTTTGACCATAGAGTGTCCATTTTTTGTAAGTCATTAGTTATTTTTGCAATGTCTGCTGCACCTTAGCTGCGAAACGGATCAGCCTGGCATCACAGAGAGCTTGTTGTTGGCACAGAGGCCACTTGGTATCGGAATACAGCCCCAGCTTTGCCAATTTATGTAATCACTGAAAGATCTATGGGTTTCAATTAATTAGGTGGGCTATTTGCCCCCAGATTCTTGCTCCTCTTCATTCACTGATAGTGATTTATCTAGCACTGCTGATAAAGTCTTAACTCTGAGTTCAAATACTGTCCTCTGGGAGAAAAAAACCCTGACATATAGAAAACAAGCTTGACAATGATTAGGATTTAAGGAGGGTTATTTTTTGCCCTCTCTCTTTTTTAAGGCAGGTAGATACTTCCCCCATCCATAGCTTTATTGTCTCTACAGAAATTTATTTTGTCACTTGAAGCATAGAATGTGAACAAAGATGAATTCCTGAGTTCCAAAGAATGGTTGCTTTCAACTAGTAAACTTAAGATATCTGTATTCCTACTACAGATGTTAAGAAATATTCCATTAAAGGGCAATTTATGACATGTAATTTTTATGCCATTAGATTTATTAACATTAATCGAATGAGTCTCAACTGGAGTGAAATATTAGCTTCTTGGTTAAATTATAAAGGATCTTAGCTTTTAGCAGCATACAGAGAGTTCTCCACTGAGAATTAATGCTAAGAGAATCAATTAATTTTTCTCCCGAGTGTGATTGTTGAGGATTAACAAGGAAAAATACACATAAGCTTTTCTCATATATACATCCAATAATTTTAAACACCATTATCACAATTTTAACACTGTGCAAAATTGCACATACATTTGGATATGTTTACAAAGTAAACCATAGAAACGCACTGGCCCTGATGGCTACTTGTTCTGCAGTAGACACAGTGATTAATTAACTGCCGCTGAAGGCGGATCTTCAGTTAGCAAAGTTCTTGTGACTCTTACCGTATGCCCACAAGCCAGGAAGGGAACTCCGAGAGCAATTAAGCACTGCCAACTCTGAAAAAGAGAGAAGAATCCCCAATTAATGGTGCATTTATTAAAAGACTAAAGTATTTTTTCCCCTCAAGCAAATCAGAGAAGCATCGCTATTATCCCTCCTCCTGCTCTGTTCTATGAAGCCCCACCATCCCTATAATTCTGTTCTGTCTCCCAAAATCATTTCAGAGAGAAGCATCAGCAGGCAGACTTCAAAATATGAGCCAGAAATGACACATAATTCTGATTCTGGTCATGGAGAAGTACAGCATTGACAGAAAAAAA